TGGGGCGCTAACCCATGCGAGCCCCAGTGGGGTCTATTGCAGTCACTAGCTGGGCTAGTTCTGAATTCAGACAAAAACAAGTTACTTGTACTTTGAGCACTCAGCGAAGAAGCCCACCCCAGTACGCCCTCTACTGATAAGTTTAGTAGCTTACCATATTGCTCCGCTTGTCCCTCACAGGATGAATGCTGCAGACCAAATATGTCCCTTTATAGCAACAGCAGTGACCTCCTGTGTCAGCACAGCAATCTGCTGCAAAAACTGCTGAGGAACGACTCAAGGAACACAGCCAACAGTTCAAGGTTCTGGCAAGGCCTCCAAACTGCCCAGATCCTGATCTGATTGAGCATTTGCCAGATGCAGGGAAACAAGTCCAATCTAGAGAGGCCCTACATCCCAACACAGATGTTTGGTCATAAGTTTACAGTTTCATATCTCACCTTTCATTGACAGTGAGGTGGTCCCTCTTCATGCTGCGTTCAGGCCCATCTGATTTTTCCAGCCTCCTCCTGAAAGAAGCACAGAGAGGACCATTTTTTCCCTGGTTTGTCTTCACTCAAGACTCGGGCTTAGTCTGTGATGTTTACTTTCTGCATTTCCAGTGACTCCATCTATATTTTTCCATCAACATGTTTAACACGTATAAAACAGTGGTTTGATAGGAAACTGGGGATGAGAAAACTCAGGAGGAGCTGATGCTGATTCTTTGTGGCTTTAGGGTCTGTCTCATTACAAACAGGTTTAATATGTTGTTTATATAAAACTATTCATTAGAGCAGCTTTGAAGTCGGTCAGCTTACTTCTTTGCAGCAGGAGGTTGACGTTCTTTAAAATCAATTAAGTGACCCACCGACTTGTCACTCTTAAAGGACACACAGCTGGGTTCAGGTCCAGGTCCAGGTTCAGGTTTATTGGAGTCTGGTCTTTTACAGATTCTGGTAAATAGAGAGGAAGACCACCATGAAGGGAAACAAGGTTCACAACCTTCTACGTTATGAACATGAACAGACTAGACGACTATACTATTCAAGGTTCAGGTTCAAGTCCAGGTCCAGGTCCATTACTGTGAATGACGATGTAGCAGTGATGTATGCAGAAGACTCGTGGACAGTTAGAGACGGTGCTCTCACCTCTGAGCTTTGCTCTGGTCCTCTGGTTCCCCACACAGAGANATTGGTTGTACCATGTTTGGTTGTAACCAACACAGCAGTGAGTTGTCACTGCTGTGTTGGGGCGCTAACCCATGCGAGCCCCAGTGGGGTCTATTCCCTCCCGTCGGCTGTCTTTCCAAGTTGTGACATGGACTTTCCCTCCTTGGGGCGACTGTGGCTCGGGTGGTGAGTGGTTGTTCTATAATCACAAGGTTGGTGGTTCGATTCCCCAGCCCTCCACAGTCGAAGTGTCCTTGGGCAAGACACTGAACCCAAAGTTGTGAAGTGCAGCCCATTTACCATTTAGTTGTCAGCTACCCTGTTCACAGCAGTCACTAGCTGGGCTAGTTCTGAATTCAGACAAACATAAGGTACTTGTATTTTGAGCACTCAGTGAAGAAACCCACACTCATATGCCCTCTTCTGATAAGTTTAGTAGCCTACCATATTGCTCGTCTTGTCCCCCACTGCCTGAGATGAATTCATAAATGTTTGCGCCACTTCACACCTGCCCCGAGCTCCTGCAGTTGAAACCTACATATTGCTGCAGACCAAATACATCCCTCCATAGCAACATCACTCACAACCTCTTGTGTCAGGACAGAGATCTGCTCAGGAACAACTCGAGGAACACAACCAAGAGTACAAGGTGCTGACAAGGCCTCCAAACTGTCCAGATCCTGATCTGATTAAGCATTTACATGATGCAGGAGAACAAGTCCAATCTACAGAGTCCCTACATCCCAACACACATGTTTGGCCATAAATCTTACAGATTCTGGTAAACAGAGAGGAAGACCACCATGAAGGGAAACAAGGTTCATAAGCTTCTATGTTATGAACATGAACAGAGTGGACTATACTCTTCTTTAATATACTATACTATACTATACTATACTATAACATAGTGTACTTAAATGCATGGTGCTATGCTATGTAGCATCAAAAAGAAAATGAACACAAAAAAAACATGAAGCTTGGATGCAGAAATGCCTTTTTAATGCACTAGATTGCTGTTCAGTTGTTCAGTAGATACACTGGATTGGTTTTAATAACTTTGATGTACTTCAAAGTGTGTATTTTTGAGGAAAATGGCATCAGATT